TCGTGTCATATCTCCACCTTTCTTGAATGTATCTAGCTTCTCATCCTTGTCCCGAGGGACCGGCGTTCATATGGGGATATATCACATTTCATATATAGCTTCTAAGAGGGTTCTTCGAAACTTGCCAGCCCACATGGTTTTGCCTTGCTCACTTCGACTGCTCCGCCCTTAGGGTAGTACCTACTTTTTCAGGAAATATTTTGCCGTTATTCATTCTATCACTGGTCTAAATATAGAGATCAAGCTGATTCTACAGAGACAAGGACTAGTACTTATAAGAGAAGGTTCAGTGTTTTTCCCAGTGGCTTTTCCTTCCGGAGATTTCAGACCGGTACAGACGAAGATATATATATATAGCCCAGTCTGAATTATCGTTTTTCATATTGTATGGGTATATGACCTCAAATGAACAGCCTTCCCCTAGCCCTATCCAGATAGTACTCACTCATGGGTATCATACAACACCACGATCACAAATTCCGTCAAACTAAACAGGAGGTAAAGAAGGCTCAATCGCCAACAAAGACGGATGATCGGCCAAACTCTGCCAAAACCCAGCCTCGAAATCCCATAAGTCCTGACTCAATAATGCTGCCCATTCATCATTCCCCTCGACCCCGGCTACTTCAGGTAGAGGCTGTGCCGGGTCCGAATGGGTCGAGTCTAGAAAACGCTGTATAGTCCGCGTAGCCTTAGAAAGCAACGCGTAATTCGGATCCCCGGGTTTGACGATCGTGCCGATCTGCACCTCCGCTACAAACACACTGAGGTCTTGTAATGACCGTGTCCGGTGCGCTCGTGGCATGTGCTGTTTTAACATGGCCAGAAGCATTATCCCCGCAGCCGGGAGGCCGTAGTATGCGACCTAGTTAGTATGTATATTAGTTGACTGCTTTGAACTTGGGTTGAGGGAGGGGAGGTTATAGACAGAGTATGGTATGTAAACATCAAGTCAATTCCATACATACCTTCCAAATAAGACCCGTCCCGGAATTAGTGAGCTGATCCCGCAACAGAATAATCTCCACAACTAGCGTGAGCATCTGACCCGCCGTCTCGATGATCGGCTGATCGGGCTCGGTCGGTGATTTAAGAAGTAAAAGACGGAGCAAAAATAGTACATGTAGGTGGTGTAGCCGTACGCCGGCGACAAAGTCTCGCTCGAAGGGTCCTTGCGTACATTTCTTCAGACTGCTCTCGAGTCGGAAGTGGGCTGGTAGGTGTTGCCACTGCGTCTCTGCTTGACATTGTATCAAGCTATACCATTTCTTGATTAGCCATGTTTTCCATTGAGATATTCGGTGTGGGCATTGATTTTTTGCATACCTTGCTCGTTGCGCACATGATGGATCATGCTTGTCCTGAAGAAGCTCCCAGACCTCCTCCTTCAGCGATGCACACAGCGCAGACCACCGCGTATCAGCCCGGTACCCGGGTTCCGCGTCTGGGGTCCAGTCTGCTGAAGCTTCTTCTGCGTTTTGACAGGATGGGACCTGGAAGTGGCAGAAGCGTTTGTTCATTCGTGGTGGGCGGCCGAGGAATATTGCTATGTTTTTATCTGCCGAGTAGATACGCGCAAAGGCTGTTTTGCGCAGTTCTTTGAGGAATGGTGGGAGTCCTGCTTTTATTTCGATGTTCTCATGATAGCCTAGGGCAAATGTGGAGGATATTGCATCGCCTAGTTTGCGCCAGGAATGGTAGCCTTCGAGAGGTTAATATATGGCCAGGTAGAGGTAGTAAATTAAAATGGACGGCTAACTTACTCTGATCTCCATCCACGTAGGAATGGACGATAAAATTCTCGTATTGCATGATCAGTTGTAGATCATTCAGGCAATCTAGAGAGAGGGATATCTCCAATGCAAAATCACAAAGTTTGGTGCATAGCCTTCGAAGTGTGTACTGCTCTTGCTCGGTGGTATATAGAGACGGGAAGAATGCAATGTCAATTGTTGCTCGACTGACAGCTGCAAAAAAAATTCCTAATGTCTCCCAACGAGAATTGTGATCTAGGAATTGAGCTGAGAAACCAGCCATGTCAGAGGTATCATTGAAGTGCAGTGGCTGGGCCGAGTTCTGCAAGAGACGTCTTGCATACACTAGATGCCAGTTATCGTCGTGGTAGGTGAACAATTGGCTCACGCTCTGGGCACATTGGTCAACAAAGGGCTCTGCCAGAGCCAGGTTAGCTCCTTTAGCTAGCCAAAACATGACTAGATCGTTCATGGCGGACAATTTGTATGTCGTCAAGAGATGTTTGAGGATGTCTGCGCCTTGTAGGACCAGATGGTTGTCCCCAAATAAGTCTGAGTGCAGATCCTCTGGTGCTGCTTGATGACTACCGGGGCCATGGTCTCCATCCGGAGTGATGTGCTTGAATATAGCCGCATGGCTGGACGATCCGAGATACCCAGGGTTTGGGTATGGATTACGTCTTGGATTAAATGATGGCGATTCATCTGGTGAACCAAGGCTACAAAAATATAATTAGCTAATTTGAATGCAGACCGGGCAAGTATGAAACTGACCTTTGCTTCTCGGCTCTTTTCCGCTTAAAGGGCGTGGTCCTGTAGATGCAAATCCCTTTACTGGCGCTGCAACGCGTGCAAACGGGCAGCTGATGGTCGCATGCCAGTTTAGCCTTCCTACAGGCTTCACAAGCAGCCAGACGCGACATGGCTGGTCTGACGGAGTTTCGCCCGGTGGAGACAAAAAGAGTGAAGTCGGCTAACAACGGCGAGATCGGAGTGTCGGCGTGTCGGCGTATCGGCGAGATAAGATGCGGGGATTCATCCATCTATAAATACTGGACTTTCTTCTTCTCCAACTCGAATATCATATTCATCATGACTCAAGACGTCAAACTCGCAGAATATCTGTTCACTCGGTTGCGCCAGCTGGGCGTCGACTCCATGTTCGGCGTCCCTGGTGACTACAACCTTCGCCTACTGGATTTTGTTACTCCGGCCGGCCTCCACTGGGTGGGCAATTGCAATGAACTCAATGCCGCCTACGCGGCAGATGGATATGGTCGCATTAAAGGCTTGTCTGCCCTGATCACCACATACGGTGTTGGCGAGCTGTCCGCTATCAACGGCATTGCAGGCGCCTACGCCGAGAACACACCTGTGGTACATATTGTCGGAACGCCACCGCGCCCGCTTGAAAGCGCACGCACGTTTATGCACCACACTTTCTCAGATGGCGACTATCGTCGCTTTGCAAACATGTCGAAGCATGTCACCTCAGCTCAAGTGAAGCTAGAAGACGCCACCACAGCACCAGAAAGGATCGACTATGTCCTACGCCAGGCGTTGGTCCACAACCGCCCAGTCTACCTCGAAATCCCCGATGATATGCCCGACGTGATGGTGTCAGCTACAAATTTGGAAATGAAGATCTGCATTCCACAGCCACCGACCTCTACCCAAGAGCCCCAGGTGTTGGCTCGCATCTTGGAGAGAGTGTACAGCGCCAAGCGTCCATTCATCTTTGTGGACGGAGAAAGCACAGGTCTCGGTATTGTCGACCAGCTCGATACTCTGATCAAAGCCACCAACTGGCCCACATGGACAACTGTGTACGGCAAGGGTCTAGTCAACGAGCAGCTGCCGAATGTGTACGGGCTGTACGCGGCAGCCTTTGGCGACAAGCCAGCGCAACAGTACTTCGAGGAAGCAGATCTGATCCTGACATTCGGACCGCACAACAGCGATACCAACACATATTTCTACACATCAATCCCCAAGCCCGCAGTAGCAATTACCTTCTCAGGAAGCACCGTTCAAATCGAGAACGATACCTATCGCGACCTCTCCGCTCCCAGGATTCTATCAAACCTACTCCAGGACCTCGACTCCACACGCCTAGTCCAGGCCACCGGACCCCCAAAACAAGAAATCACATTGGCGAACATCCAGAACACAGACCCTCTCGCCCAAAACAACTTTTATCGCCTAGTAAACCCGCTCTTCCGCGAGGGCGACATAATCCTCACCGAGACCGGCACCGCCGCGCATGGCGGCCGGAACTTCAAACTGCCTGCGAAATCCCGCATTTTCGGCGCAGTGACCTGGCTCTCGATTGGATTCATGCTCCCGGCAACATTAGGAACAGCACTAGCGCAGCGAGAGCACAATAAAGGCACAGACAGCAAGAGCCAGACGATTTTGTTCATCGGCGACGGGAGCTTGCAGATGACGGCCCAGGAAATCAGTGTGATGATCCGCGAGAAGCTGAACATTATCATTTTTATTATCAATAACGATGGGTATACCATTGAGCGGGTGATCCACGGACGCAAACAGGTGTACAACGATGTGCCGTTCTGGAGACATGCGCAAGCGCTGAACTATTTCGGGGCTGATGAAGAGCATGCGGCAAATAATACTTTTACGGCGAGGACTTGTGGCGAGTTGAAGGATGTATTGGCTGATGAACGGATTCAGAATGGGTCCGGGGTGAGGCTTGTTGAGGTCTTTATGGGTAGGGAGGATGTACAGGGGGCTTTATTGTATTTGCTGAACAAGCAGCTTGCTCAGGAGAAGGAGACTGAGCAGCGGGAGCAGATTTAGAGCAAGAGGGGAGGACATCCCTTGTTACATAAAGAAAGATTATGTCTAGTTATGTTTTACTACAGTTTCCTTGGATGGCAGTTTGGATCAAGTTCAAGTAGAATGATGTCTTACTATGATTATTGCGTGTTTCGCTCCTAGTACACGAAATGAGAAATCCTTGGAAGAAGAAAACGAGCCTAAGTGAACGCCGATTCCCTATGCTCCAGATCCGCCATGCACAGTGTTGTGAAATTAGAAACAAAAAAAAGAGGAATGACCCTGAAACATCTCAAAACGGACATATGCTTGAATATGTCATGACAAGTCCATAATTGATCTGTGTTGCTGAGATGGGTTTCAGTCATGTTGAATTGTGATTATTTGCGGAAGCTTTCAACCCCTAGGGCTGGGGTTTCCACCATGCGATCGGAGGGGACGCCCTCGTCACGACGACGGGCGAAAAAAGCTATCGCATTCAGAGACAATGTGTGCCCACTCTGCAAGGGCGCGGCCTGCATATTTGCTCGGCACAAGATGGTTGTAGGAAGGCTGGGAAGGAAGTTCAGGTAAAGGGGAGTTCTTGGTTGTAGGCGTTCGCGGCCAGGTATCTGAGGTAGGTTGTGTGGGGGTATCTTGGTTGACGGTGAGGGTGTCTGGTTCTTGTTCATCACTCTCCAAGTCGGAATGGCCCGGATTCTCTGATGCTGTGTCATATTCCGACTTGTCGGGAGAACGACGATGCTCGACGTGCAATTGGGATGCGACAGGGAGACAAGGTGTGAAAAGACGTTTGTTTTTGGTGGGCCATTGCGGGCGATCCATCCATTCCAGTGAGAATTTGAAAAAGAATGGCTGGTGGGGAGCTTTGGGGCGGAGTATCTCTTCCATACTGGTGGTCGGAGTTTGTTCGTGTTCATCCATACATTTGCTATCAGCAGTCATTGTTGGGTCTGGTGCGCCATTCTCGGACTCATCAGAACTGCTGCTGCTGACGCCCTCGCCGGAACGTGTGTTGGAAGAGCTGCCAAACATAGCCTTGAGTATTCCCCACCGCTTTTTAGCTGGCTGGCCATCTGAGCCATTGGAGTCGGAAGATCCGGTGCGACGGTGGGATGTGAGTTGGTCCGAAGGAACGGGTGGAACGACTCGATCGAAACTGACGAAAAGATTGACAGGAGACAGTTGGTTTTCGCAACGGATAATGATGATTCTTCGTCCTGGAGCTGGCGTGCAGGGAGCAGAGGACAAAGGAGCTGTCATATCTTCTTCGGCCTTAGATTGGAACGCCACGTAGTACTCCCAGACTCGCAAGAGTCGATCTGAAAGAAGTTCATAGACGTTGGAGTCAAGCAATGAGGGCTCGGTATTAAACCGCCCGACCCTCCAACACAACAAACGATGGAAATAGGCTCGCACCATTGGACTCCAGTGATTGAAGTAATGGTAGAATACCGGCTCATGTAACAAGAAATCCAAACAGATAGACGCTTTTCTTTCTTCTGTAGCAGTCCAGGTACCCCAGATGCAGAAGAGGAAAGAAAACACTCGCACCTCAGTGAGCGAATTGTGGCTCTGCATCATTTGGCGACAAACATCGAGCCAAAATCCCCAATCAAACAATTCCGTTTCAATCGACTGGGCGTAACGTGTGATGATTGGAATGACCTCCTCGAGGAAGTCACACAACAAAAAGCATGCGTTATGATCAAAGAGAGACGTTTTCTGTGCCGCAGCTTTGATTATACCACAGAATGATTCGGCAAACAGTAATCGAGCACGATTGGGTTCCACAGACGATTCAGACAGGAGGTCACGGAGAAGGATGATTAGACGATTCTCTGCCATCGACCGATGAGTGTTGCTGCCACTTCGAAGATGTTGAGCGGAGGCAGAAGCATCCGGCGACTCGATGAAATCATCGAAGGTGATTGCAGCAGCTGTGTGTGGATTGTCAGACCCTGGTTGTGCCGATTGCTTGTATATCGTGTCCTCCAGAACGAGCAGGAGTTGCGCATGAACTATCAACAACCCAGGTGCCAATATCCGTTTCGCCTTTTCAGTCCCGGGGGGCAAATACTCAGCATACAGAATGTGAATGTATTTGACGAAGACAAAAAAAGAGGTCCGTGTCACGCCCGGCCCATCGTGCGATCCACGGGCGGTTCCAATTAATTGGGTTTGTGTTTAAGGGTAGCTCGGGTTTCTGGCGTAGATATCGCAACAGAGGTGCTGGTGAGTGAAAGGCTAGGGGACGGAGAGCCGGTGGAAAGCACAGAGCGAGTTCTTGCGTGCATGCACGCATGTTTCCAGTGCGTGACCCGGCCGATTCTGACAAGATTCGTCGGAATATATTGTGAGGCGTGCTCCACAGCCGAACCAGGATCTCGGGCACCCCGGGGCAGAAGAAAAAGGCATATGCGCAAACCTTGCCGCAAAACGCGACCAGACTAGCTGGTGCGTGCCGCATAGACATTCGTTCGACCACGAATGCCATCTGAGAGAGCAGGTTTTGAATAAAAATGTTTCGGATGTTGTGATGAATCGATTCAACCAGGAAATCCGAACCCGAGGAGCCTGATCCATCCGATGTTTCCGACACAGAAGTCGACGCATACTTCAATGAGTCCGGAGACCCACTGCCATTCAAGGCCATGGGGAATGGGATGCGCCATTCCGGTCGGGCCATGATTCCCACGATAGCTTCCAGGAACACTGGTCTATCGGTTCCCGATATCGACTGGTTATGCTTACCATTGAGCATTTCCAACATTCCAATCCACCATTTGTTGAGAATATTGACACGACGATCCAGGTCTTCTGGTCTTAGATCCTTACATGATGTGTGGAGGTGATGACGGCTGAGAAAGGGGAGGAGCGAGGTACGGATGACGTTGGCTTTCAGCGAGCTAGATTTGGCTTGGAACCTGTTTTCCAGTCAGCAATTGTAAGTGCGAATGGCGTAAGGTGATTGTGCATACTTTTGGAAATCCGCCTCAAGGCCACGGAAGATACCCCAAAGCTCGTCCTTTTTCCGTGTATGATCGGGGCTGGAATTTGCATATGCCGCAGCAGTTTCTGCGGCTCCCTTGGGCATTGGGGGTAATACCGGGGTCGAAACGGAAAGTGATGCTGTGAATTTTTCGAACGAGGAGCGGTGTCGTAGCGAATTTCCAGAAGGACTGTTCGGAGAGTCGGGGTTATCCTCGGGGCCCTTGGCCACAACAGCCAACATCGGCCGGCGCGGGCGTTTGTAAAGGATTGTTCGTCTGCGGGAGGGTTGTGTCTGATCATCTTCTGTTTTTCGACCGCTGAATCGAGTGGGGGATTGAGAATCTTGCTGTTTAGATCTCTTCGCGGACGGGGACGGAGATCGGGAGGAAGAGCCCCATGGTTTCCTTGCAAGGCTGACTATCCTTCCAGACATTGACCGGCTCTTGGATGGCCTCACAGCGGGCTCCGGCGCCCTGGTTTCTGGCACATGTGAATCTGTGTCCTTTAAATCCTCCGATGACGATAATGTGAAATGAGAGACGTTTGCCGGTTTTGACTTGTCCTTGGATCGAAGAGAGGTTCGGCGCAGAATATCCTTCCCCGCAGCCACTGTTTCCTTTGTCGGTGATTCTGCCAAAGTTGGAACAGCATAGTCAGAAAATGTACGCCTTAAGCTGGGTTCCGTTGCGGTTTGACTGGGAAGATCGGTGTAGCTGGCGGCACGAGAGAGCTCGGGGTTCTGGTCATCGTTCGTCTCGGGTGAAGGCGAAGACATTGTCTTAGAGTGTAAAATGAGGGCAGATCGGTTATTAAGGGGATTTATTGGTCATTTCCCCTTAAAAATCTCAGGATTCTGAAATTCTGAGCGTAGAAGAGACCAGCTCCTCTGTGCACCAGGAGATTCCGGGTGGTAGTGATCAGGAGCGCTGCATCGGGGAAAGACAAACAAAGCACAATCACAATGCTGAAATGTCGACTTTTAGAACAAATTGGGGAATCAGAGATAGAAGTAGAGAGACAAAACAATGATATGGAGACCAGGAATAACGGAGTTTCGGGGGTGGATAGATCGTCTATGCAGCCGCTTAGAAGGGCGCCACTCTGATTCAGCAAGTGATCGGCGGGGGAATCTCCCCCAAGGGCGTCTGCACAAGGGTCCGAGAAAGAGGGTGGTGGGGGGAGGCGGAAATAATATCAAGAGGAAGTGAGGGAGAGAGAGAAGAAGAGGAAGAAGAAGACAGAAAAAGGGAAGAGAAATCCAAATGATTCCCAGGGGGGAGGAAATATCCCCAAAGTCTACTTTGTCTATTTTGGTTATTTTGGTTATTTTGGTTATTTTAACTATTTGGCTCATTTCTTGTTAATTAACTCGATACACCTGGGCATTTTTATCTTATTCTTTTTTATTCTTTTTATTCTCGATTATACGAGTAATATAACTTATTTCTCCTTTAATAGTTGAGACATTCACCGATTTTTTCTCTTTTTACTCCACTTTCTTCCACGGATCTCTTTATCTTCTTCATCTTCATCTTCTCTATAGCCATCATGGTCGCGTAATACTAAACAGTCTCACAGTGTCAGCTCGAGTCTATGGTCTCTGCATGCACTGCCATATGCGGTAAGTCTGATTTGTAAAGACATCGGGCTCTCTGTTCAGCCCCAATTGCAAGGTCTTTACAGGCGATAGAGCCAATTGTATCCTCTCCTCTCCGGAACATAATAGGATAGAATTCACCGAGTGGGCAATGACAACTGTACGGAGTACATCGGTACAGATCTCTCGTATTTCATTCTTGGCCATGGAATGTTAGAATGTTGTGCTGTGATCCGAATCATTAACATTAACCCTAATTCTCTATTATTGTCGACATTCCTTTAAAAAAATTCTGTGATATTTCCCCATGTTTCATATGGACTATTAAAAAATATAACTATAAAAAAAACCATTGCTTTCCACGCGACATCTGGATCAGGCTCAAAATCAGTTTCCAAAGTATGGAGCCACTACCTGTCATAATCTGTCCTGCAGGGGGATGGGCCATAAGACGCTTACAAAGTAAATAACCTTACACCTTACGGAGTACGGAGTACAGATATAGCCTTATAAATGGCGATATATTCACAGGTGCCATACTTTATATTTTTCTGGATGTATCTAAGAGTTCCCGCGAGTGCCCTGTCGACACACCATGAATCACATTGCACAAGCTCTTGGCGACCAATGTTTTCATTGCGCCCCCTGCTGGGGAAAATCAGGACCCAAGTTGAACAACAGTGGCTTGGGGTGAGGATGCAATCGTAGAGCAATAGTACTTGAATAGTCGTGTTTTTTTTTCTCCGGGTTTTGTTTTATTGAACTTTAGCTTTGCCATCCTGGTTGATCTCTATGTTGATATCAAGTTCTATGTTGTATGTTGTACGGGAAAATAATGATTGAGTCTGATAGGTGTGCAATTTAGAGAATGTGGAATTTCGATATATCAGATCAATTGCAATACTTTTATGAACTTCTGGTGTGTTCGTTACGTTGTACATGTTGATCTACGAGGTATCGGTTGCGGCAGTAGATCCAATAATTAGTACCAATACATCTCTATATGAACATCCATACTCCATCTACTGCATATACTTCTGAATTACTGGATGACTTATTGCATTAGCATGGCAATAAGCCTGCCTAAGCAATGCAGATCACAATTTGTAACCCAGCAGTCCCATGTCATGCTCCAACCAAGCCATCTGTTTGGTTCATGTTGCCAATGCACAAGTGATCGATCTGCTAACTACTCTATCTATACTAACGGGTGAGTTCGTGGATTGGTCTCGAGGTGCCGCATTGATTACCCACAGCCCTTGGCATCATAATTGACTACTTGGGCGATAAGGACTCAGTTCCATGTGCTGCCTGTACCGTATTCCGTCACGGGTCAATCCTGCAGTTCAGCCATTTAGATATCTTCTATTTGGTTCATCACTATCCTTGAAAGAATACTACAAGCCCCGCTCTTCACACTTAACTGACCAACTGAAGATACCATGAATGACCCTAATCTAAAGTGTGTCTGCTGCACTTACCAAAGACATGTCTTTGGTATCATCAGTCACCCGCGTAGCCCTTCATGACTGAAATATTTATTCTCGAGTCATGTCCTGGATACACACAGAAAAGGTGGGAATCAAAGGAAAAAAGAAGTCTCAACGTTCAAAAATGTGGTCTAATTTACAAGCTTCAGGACCTCGAGAGGCGGCCACATTAGTTGCGTTGCAGGCATTTAAAGCCGGCCTTCCCCCCATATCCCCCAGACCTTGCTAAATGAAAAAGAAAGAGGAATTTAGTGGGCAGCGGGGGCCTCCTCTTCCTCCTCGAACCAGCTCTCCTCGACGGGGGCGGCCTCGCCAGCGGCGGCCTGGCCCTCGACCTCGACCTCCTGGCTCTCGTAGGCGGACAATTCGCTGGCAAGGTTGGCCTCCTCGGGAGACTTGGGGGCCTTGGGAGCGGAGAACTTTTGGACGTGCTCTTCGGCATCACCAGCCTTGATGGGGATGGGCTTGTAGGCCTTGAGCTCGCGGAGGTACAGGTCCTGGACGGGGTCGGCTGCGGCGAGTTGCGGGTTAGCGGGGATGCGATTGATGGATATAACGGGGAAATCTGGGTTATATTAAAGATAGTCCCCAGGTAGAGTACATACCCTGGCGGACGGCGGAGGTCAGGAAGGTGCGGCGAGCGACCGAGACCTGTGCCCGAGAGGCACGGGAGAAGAGGGTGCGCTGCTTTTCGCGTTAGTCGAGGATCGATATAGACAGTTGTAGATCAAGTAGCACTCACCGAGGCCCGGAGAGACTGAGACATCATCTTGAGTGAGGGTGTAGATGAGGAATGAGGGGGTGGTTCTCAATAGAATAGGTCTGATCCGTCTTTCCGTGAAGTTGGAGGTTCAAACGACTTCTGTTCGGAAAGGTTCCTTGGCAGATGACTCAGCCGGGCCATGTTGTTCCCGGGTCCAGGGCTTCAACACTATACCTATGTAGTTGATTATCAAAACAAATAACTAACTAGTCGACAGTGGTTCAGTTTATCGATATAAAATGATACTTGATTAAGTTTGTTATATTCAAATACGAACAGTCTATTATCTATTAAAGCATAGGACACATCTCTAAACCGACTTCTCAACATAATCCCGAGATCACCCGTAACTATAGAGATGTCTGAATCTCTTGACTTCGTCGTTTGCTCTCAGTTATCCATGGGAGTTGGATCTAAAGCCCCATTGTCCTTTTTTGTTATGGTCTATCTACAACAGCAAACGAGAACAAAGAATCTTTGTTTGCTATAAAAAGCTTCCTATACTTCCTCGACCAATCAAAACAAAGAAACAATATCATGTGATCTATTTACTAAGCCTAATTTGGACTGCGCCTTTCCTCGGGTGCCGCCTATTGAAAGCCTCACCTCACCCCATCGTTTCCCTCTCTCATCCTCCCCCAGTCCTTGGTTTCTTCTTTCTCTCCTCCTCAGCCTGTCCCCATTTTCGTGAGAGACTTCTTGCGGAGACCTTGACTGGTTCAACACGGCTGGACAAGCTGAGGCGAGATTTCTGTTCCACTTTCGATCTAAGAAAGCGCAGACTGGTGAAGGGTTTTCTACGACTGGGGGTGACCTCCTTCAAATCCTGAGGGCTCCGGCCTGTGAAAGGTAACGAAAGCTTTCTTGTTCGAGTACTTCTAAGCGTGGCATTGTTAGAGGTCAAGGACCAGACAACATTGCGATACGAGAGACAATGAATTTGCTTTTCGGCTGAGCTAACATGACTGCGCAACACAGTGGCCTTGAGCGACACGCTTTCTTCCATCGACCTTTTCCCTTGCTGACGGATCCTCCGCAAGTGGCCCGCTTTCGTTTTCCTCATTTCAGCCGCCAAGCTGTATTCGCCACTTTTCCTTCGCTACTATAATCGGAAATACAATCTACCTCATATAGCGCCAAAAGTTTTCAGAAGACGCTGCCACGATCGATACACAAATTACTTGAAAACTCAAAACATGGCTACTCCCGCTCTTGCGAAACCCGAGGTCGCGGCTCCTTGGAAGAAAAACCTGTCTGCTCATCTCGTTTGCCCCGAGTGCAAAGAGGACCCCCCCAACCTGGAATTCCCCGACTCCCATGAGACAGTTTGCGGTTCCTGTGGACTTGTGCTAGCAGACCGCGAGATCGACTTGCACTCGGAATGGCGTACCTTCTCCAATGACGACCAAAATAATGACGACCCCTCCCGTGTCGGAGACGCTTCGAATCCTCTACTCAACGGCGCTCAACTAGAGACTTCCATCGCAAGTGGAGGCTCTGGACGTGCCCGCGACCTTTACCGCGCTCAAAACAAGCAGTCTGGTGAAAAGGCCAACAAGGCCCTCCTGGCAGCTTACAAGGAAATTGGTGCTCTGTGCGACGGTTTCAACATCCAAAAGACTGTCGCCGATACCGCCAAGTATCTCTTCAAGATGGTGGACGACGCCAAGGCCTTCAAGGGCAAGTCGCAGGAAGTCATTATTGCTGGTTGCATCTTCATCGCATGTCGTCAGTGCAAGGTTCCTCGCACCTTCACCGAGATTTTCGCAGTGACCAAGGTCACCCGAAAGGAAATCGGTCGCATCTACAAAGCTCTGGAGAAGTTTTTCACCACTCAGAATGTGGAGCGTCACAATGCTGCTTTGGAAAATGGCGAAACTCACGACTCTGCTGGCGATTACAACGCAACTACTTCGACCAAGCCAAGCGACCTTTGCAATCGTTTCTGCAACCTTCTCGACCTTCCTTACCAGGTCACCAGTGTTTCTGTGTCCCTTTCAGACCGCGTTACTGCGATGGGCGATTTAGCCGGACGTTCTCCACTGTCTATTGTTGCGGCTTGCATCTACATGGCTTCATTCCTCATGGGCCACGGCAAGTCTGCCAAGGAAATTTCCCAGGTTGCGCACGTCAGTGATGGAACCATCCGTGGTGCTTACAAACAATTGTACGCGGAACGCGAGCGCCTGGTTGACCCTGAATGGATCAAGGGTGGCAAGGGTGATATGGGCAAGTTGCCTGCGAGCTGAACGGTACATTGGAAAACAGCATTTGCATTTCAGACACATTGATCATATTCCACACTCAAGAGCGACATGGCCAAACTGGTCTACTTCTAGAGCAAATCTGTCGAAAAGAAAAAAAACCAAGAAAAAAAAGCTTCAACATCTGGTTGATCGACACGCATGGCTGTCTTTGAAACGTCATATTACCTCGCTGCAATGTGCTTAGGATTTATCTTTGGTGGATATTGGCTTTGGGACAAGCCTGGGGACTACCTTGATTTGTACATCATCATGGATAGATAGATTGAGCAACAATCAATCATCTTCCAATAAATTTGATGAATGTAGATGAATAGACTCAAGAGAACATAAAATACAAAGCTTATCATATCAAAATATTGAATCTCGATGTACAAAGAAAAAAATCCAATGCATCCACAGCCCCGAAGTAGGCATCTAACCCCAGAATCTCCAAACGAAGAATGATGAACCAGCACCATCTGTTATCACCAAGACAGCAGGACACCACACAAGGAATCAAGAATCAACCTAGCTAGCTCTTGAAAGCAGGTTTAACCGTGCCATGATTATCAGTGGAGTTATACGGCTTAGCATACCGCTCCTCCATCTCCTGATTGTGCTTCTTGACGTCGTCGGGAATATCCTCTTTCGGATTTCCCTCTCGGTCTACAAGAGGCGAATGCTCTCCCTCGTTGATGGTGGGCTTTGCTTTATTAGAGGGGATTGGGCGATTGGGCGAGTTTGGCGGCTGGGTTGTGGTTGTTGCTTGCTCGGGGTCATTTGAGGATTTGGTTGCGTAGCCTCGATATAGGACGGTGCGAGGTGGTTGACTGCGTGCTGTGGAGAGAGCTGTAATTGGGGATCGAAGGTGGAATGGGATCTTTAGGCGCATAAAGGTTGTCATTTTTGGATGGTTAGGGGGTAGAGTATTTTTAGTTTATGGGGATTGTTGAAGGAGGTTGAATATGGGATTGCTCCAAGTGAAAGCGAGTGCTTTATATACTCTCAATAGGAAGTCAGTTCTATGAAATATCAAATATTAAATCCGGTTTCGAGGGATTTTGGATGTCATTTGGCGATGACGTACATCAATGTCATACTGGACATGCCAAGAGATTCAACAACTTTAGATCTATTGTAGTATATTATAACTATTATAGTATTATAGAATATTATATGGACATTCTAGTTTAGTTTGGACTGTTCACAGTATAGAGAGAGGGTGATCCATTGAACCAGGGCTAACAATACTTCCAACGGCTGCTAACTAACTAGTAAATCCTAGCATGTAGGATTCAGCGCTGAACAAGAACAGAGGATAAGAATACAGTTAGTCCAACCAATTCCCAGTATCAACATAACAATAACAACATTTGGTCCCATTGCAATTGACAAATGACAAGTCCTTCGAGGTGAGGTTGGAGCATGCAATCAGCTCGAACATCACTGTGAACGCTCACAAGCACCTATTCAGCCCAATGGACTCCAAAACAACCACATGCACGTGTAAAGAACATTGGAAGCAGACCAACGCTCGATGCCCGAAAGAACAATCGAATTGAGTTCAGAAAGAAAAGAAAAAGAAACAAGTGGCAGAATATCAAGCATCACTCCAACTTGATGTATGGAACCATGCCTTGGACGAGATTTGATGAATCGACATTGGATATGCTCTGGAAATGAGATGGTTGTTTTCGAAAGTCTTGAGTTGTAGTTGCACTCGATTTTCCTACTGTAGCCGGGGTTGACTCCGATGCTTGCTTGGAAGAACCACCATCACAAGTACGGGATTCGCGGGAGCTGGATAAATCGCGCTGCTGTTGCCTCTGAGCAAGCTGTGGGTCATCGGATGGGTCTTGTTGACCGCAAACTGTCTCGTGCCGACGATATTGAGGTGGAGGGACTCTCTCGTGCGACCTCTGGTTCTTTCGCTTCGGGCTAGGGGAGTTCATTTGCTGTGGGTGAACATGAGATGGTGCATTTGAGACACTGCCAGGATTTCTCGGCGCGATGTGTGGTTCCCATTGGGGCTTTGCTTGGGACTGTGGTCGCCCCGATTCTTGCGATGGCCTAGTATGAGATTTCTGAGGTGGTTGCTGTCGTTTTTCCAGCGTCCCAGAAGCCTTATTGGGAGGAACAGCCGAACGTCGAGGGGACAGGGCCTCGATCATAGAGCTCGTAACGGGGAAGGTATGTTCAAATGCTGTATCCAGCAGTTCCTTGCCACCGAACTCTACCTTCTGGGATTTCAGCTTGCGCCTCAGTTGCTCTCGCTCAGACCCTATCACTCGGTCTCGATGTAACCTAGATGTAGCATCCGACCACTCACGATGGCGCTTTTCCGGCAGATGCTTTGTGGCCGTCGGCGGCGACCCAGTAGCGTGTGCTTGAGGTGACTGTTTAGGACTCTGCTGAGGTGACTTTTTAGGACTCTGCTGGAGCGACTGTTTAGGACTCTGCTGAGGCGGGGGGATGCAACTGGGAGCTTTGAAGGCGACGCCGGGGGCGAAGTATTTTGCTGTCGGGGCACCACAGGGGGTGAAGCAGATTGGGAATCCGGTGCAGACCACTGATTCACCAGTTCAGCCGCCAGTTGAAGATTAGCACCGGTGGTATAGATGCCGTTGAAGATTAACGGGACTAGCTTCGGTGGGACACCAGCGCGCAGGGCATCCGACAGTATTGACTGCTCGATGCGCCGCTGTTCCAGTACCAAACTAGCCTGGTGTGTTTTTTCTTCCGCCTGCTTGCGCCGGTCTTCTTCCATCTTGGCGTGCAGCCGCATCTTCATGTCCTCTGTGAGGGGAGTCGATTTTGTCAGTGGAGGTGGCAGGTGGTTGTGCCCGGGTGGCGGGATCAGTCGTTGGGATGGGCTCATTGTGTGAGTGGGGGGCGGAGGGGAATCCTCTATCGAAGGCCACGGTACTAGCTGAGGGAGAGACTGGGTCTGTGTTTTGGCAGACATATTGGATTCCTTAGTACCGTTCGTGCGCTTGAAGGGGGTTAAAGTGCGCTTCATGTTAACAGCGCAGGGCAACAACGCTTTTGAATTGCGTAAACACGGGGAATGACAGGAAGGCCCATGAGTTGGATCCCATGAAGGTTATGCAAAGACTTCTGGAGAGGAGGAGGAGAGAAAGAGAGAAACCCCCCCCAATTAGGAAACCACACAGAGTTTAGGGCATGCGGTTTCCTCATTGAGATGTCCCAGTGTAGGGCTGTCACTGCATATGCAGGTATGCCTTTTTTTAAAAAACTTCCAGAAAGATAATCGGTAAGAGCGGGCTGAATAGGCTGAGGTCGTTCCTATATAGGAAGTTATTGGTCAAGTAGAAGAAATTCATTTAAAATATATACTCGGCGCATCAGCAGATGCCCACTTGGAAACCACATCTAGATATCCCCCATGCAAAGGAAAAAAAGGTCACAAAGGGTATCCTATCGCTGCATTCGCCATCTTCATCTCACTACCTCGAGCCCGCACTCGTTCGTACCCGAACGACAATATCCCAGAAAAGATGGCAGTCGCATCATCAAATCCATGCTGGAATGCTGGAGGAAAGTGGAGAAAAGGCAGCTATCATGCCTGTTTTGTTTTATACATCGCCGCGATCGAATCGACTCAGGACTTCGGGCGGGACTGTGGGAATGTACTTGCGGGCTCGTTCGCGGTTCGTGCCACCAAAGCCGGCGCCGTAGCTGACCAGCATATCTGTACTGGTTGGAAGGGAGAAGGGGAGGAAGAGGGTTGGGTCGACGAAGACACTATTGCCGCTACCGGGGCGCTCTTCGTTTTTGGTGGCGACCATGCTTGTACGTCGGGATGATACACCAGCAGAGCCTGGGGATAGTCCATTGTCAGGAGAGGTGGGTGCTGCGGAGGGCTGGTCCTTGGATGGTGTCTTTGGACGGGTGTCTGCTGCTGCTTGGAGCCCCGATCCAGCTTCTACCTTCGCCTTCTCTTCTTGGATTTCCTGTTGCTCGCGGTATAGAACTTCGGGGTCATTTTGCATGTCGAGAAGGAATTTCATTGCTTGCTTGGTCAGGCCTTTCTCGCCTACTTCTGGGCGGTACGACTTGACTGCATGTAAGAGCTGGGCGGGGGTGAGTTGTTGGAGTTGGAGCAGGGTTGTTACGAGAGATTCGTGGTCATCGCCGAGCGACGAGAAGCATTGCAGCCATTGGAGGAGTTGAATAACCGGGGCTAAATGTCGACGAGCGGCATCAATCGTAGACTCTCCAGTGCTGCTTGTAGATCCGTTTTCGTAATGTTCTGGCACACGGTTGTTCGTGCGTGCCCAATCCTCTAATGATGAAACGTTCATGCGGATCTGCATCGCCTTTGTGCGCGCCAAGTAACGTTTCGTGCTCATGATTCGATTAAATATCTCGGCACTGAGCCAGTAGAGAAGTTGGGCGAGGATCTGAGTCGTGATCACCGAGTGAACATCGTAGAGATCAAGTACAAAGAGGGTCGATGATAGTAAAGAGGTGATGTTCCGAGGCGAGATTTGTGCTCGTCGCCGCGGCGATGGAGGCCGGAATCGCTTCTCGTCAGGCTCGGGGTTTTTGCTTTTATTTTTGCGGAACAACTTCCACTCGTTTTGGAAGGCAATATCTTCCAGTCCAGGGATGGTTTCATGGTCCAGCATTGCGGCATCCAGGACTTTGTTCATTCGGCGCTCGGCGTCACGAATAACGAGAACGAATATCTCGTTGATCAGCTCCGCTAGATGGAGCTGGAACTCGACGGTAGATTCCACTAAGCCCCCATCCTTCTTCAGGTAGTGAAGCAGAAGCGTGGCATTTGACAGCCAAAAGGCTTGCATTGTCATGTCCCACTGGTAACGTTCTACAACGTCATTAATCTTCTCCATTGCAGATGACAGCAGGGTTCTGAGCAGCTCCGGGCTGGCATGATAATGCGCGTAACGGGCGCTGAGGAAGAGAAGATTTGCAGGCACTGGCTTTTGGGAAGGAGACCGCTGGGGGGTCATGTTGGTGATGATGATATCCAAAATGCGCTCTAGCTCATGATCCTGGAAGACAAACATCTGATCATTCAGACACTTGTCCCAGACAAATTCCTGCTGATCTTCCTCGAGCTCGTCTTCATCGGACGGCTATGGGATTAAAGAGCTCAAGTCAGTCACGGTAAAACCCTTGTTTTCACGACACAAACTGACCTCGAATTTCTCGTCAAGTCCTAGACTGGACAAATCAACTTCCAGATTAATTGCGCTCTCTTCCATCATCATTCGACGCTTCATCTCGCTCTCCGCCAGCTCTTCTTCGAAACGACCATGTGCCAATCCAGCGTCATAGAAGTCGTCATCGATATTACCAGAGCCAAAGCTATAACCATTTTCATGCAAATATTCAGAAATCTCACTACCGGGCTGAGCGAAATCAAAAGCCCTACCACCGGACGACGACTTGATATCCGGTGACGCACCGTTATCAAGAAGAATCTTCGCTATCGTTTTGTGTCTGTTGGTCATGGCCCACATCAAAGCGCTCCACTGGTTCCGATCCTGTCTGTCAACGAGGGCACCGGCGATAATGAGCGCAGAAACGACTTCTTGATGACCCTGTTATAAACCGTCAGCCGCGCGTCAACACTTTGCATATAGAGCAACTGACAAAACAACTAGCATAGATCAACGGCACAGTCCCCTCCTCATCGGGCTTATTGACATCGACGTAGGTCCTCGCTTGGCCCTGTACCAGTTTCCGCACGCGCTCCACATCGCCATTACTGGCGGCCATATTCAAGCTTTTCTGTAGTATATCGCGCTTCTCGTCATCGGTCAATTTCTCGTCGGCGGCAATTGTCTCTTCGTCTGCGGTAAGCGAATCCACCTCCCGATGGGCAGCTTGGGCAGCAAGCATCTCCATCAGCCGTGTGTCACTATCTTCAATATCGCGCCCATAGTGAGCCCGCAGTTCGTGCTCATTGTCGTGTGAATGATCGTCGAGGGCTAGGCTGAAGGATAAGGGTTTTGCGGCGACTGGCGCGGTCAGGTATTGTGATTGACCTGTTCAACGATTAGACCTTAATGCTTGAACCCCCAATACAGTCGGTAAGTTTTCCAGCATGTAAATGTTCAAGGGGGAATGGTTTGATCTCCCGCGCCGGGGAAACGAGGAAATGGCTCCGCAGACATAAGACCACTCACCTTGCCAAGCATCGTACATCTCAGTCTCCGGCTGGAAGACCGGGACGGAGCGACGATCGTCCAGCGATTTGGGCAAGTCATCTGGGAGCTCCTGTTTAGCTTCGTGGAAGGACGCGGGGCTGTGGTCGCTGTAGTCGTTGGAGTCGATGGGGTCCTCTGAAGCCCCGCGCCGCGATTCGGTCATGTCCATCGTGGCGGGTTGGCTATCCGGAAGAGTTGTGGCGGGACATCAAAAGGTTTGAATTTGGGAGGAGATCGAAGAACCCTCACTAGGTATATGTTCTCTAAGGAGGATACCCTCCACGCGTGTAAATTGGGTGTTGGAGGGAGGTGGTGGTGGTGGTGATGAGTGGATAGTGGGTTTGGTGTTCCGTTCCTGGACCAGCTCTCCCGCGATGCGGCCCCGAAGACCTCGGGGAGATATGACGCAGCTTTGTAATTCCTTGATATCAAATGTTGGGGTGTATGAAGACAAATCACTTGGTAGGTTGCTCTTTTTGTTTTGGTTGGAATCCTTATTTCTTCTACTGATACGTAGGTAGGTAGCAACCCCCTATTCACTCCATGAATATTTCCTTTCAAATCCTATTTCCCATCCATACAATATCATATGATACTAAAGTCTGTTACTGACTTTATATTGATATATCCTAATTGATACGAAAAGAAGGCACAGATAAGGTTCTAAGGGTTGAAGACGAATAATGAATACGATATTCATCTGCAGAGCTCTAAACATATTGTTATCCATAAAGGAGGCATATGATATCTTAAACCTTACGGCGTAAGCGACTCTGACAGATTGGAAATGACCAGAATGTGCATGATAATTGCTGTCATTATAGGTTGGTAGGTAGATATATATATAAAAAACCAATGGGACGTTACCTAGGTAGGTAGATAGAGAGCGAACCTTGAACCGCTCTAACGGATTGGCAATGGGAGCGGCGCGCGGAGGTTCCCAAAGTGTTTGAATGCCGACAAGTTCAAGCTCAAATGTGACATGGCTGGGATGGCCAAGGTATGTACAAGGCCTGTTGTCATTATGGAGTGGTAGATCCAAACAAGACGCCTCCATTCATATATGGACAGCCCGATCCGGCACCAACAAGACAAAACAAAACAAAAAAAAAGAATTCCAAAACGAAAGGTATTAGCCAGATGCAAGTATCGGTACAAAATGGTAGAGGGACAAAGCAGCCTCTGGAAAGGGGGTATAAACTATCCAATCACGGATGTCAAGATTGTAATACAAAAATGGATATAGCGATGTAACCAAAAGGACCAAGGAAAGCGGGGGTGAGAAACGAGAGATTATTCAAGTGCTTTGCTCCTGGATTGTATTTCGTCTTCGGGGAGACAAGCAATCCACAAGCACCGTTCGATAATGCCCTGCACGGGCTCAAACTTATATTTTGTACTGGCGTCAATGAGACGGAGGAGACTCTTGACGATTCGTGCTGCAGTGCGATAGCGCTCGAAGTTGACAAGTAAACCGCCATTGGTGCTGTTAACTTGTGCGGGTTTCTGTGCATTATAAGTGAGGTCATGGACGTAAAGGCCTGGAAACAAGGGCGGAAAAGGGATTAGCAAGCAAGGTCTAGGGCGTTATTCAAGCAAACGATTTCAAAAACTTACCGATGAAGGGAATACAGCCTTCTTGCAAGCTGGCCGTCTCCATCTCGACACGTAGATCATTGAAATTGCGCACCGGCTGAATTAGGCACTCCATATCCTTGAACAGCCGCTTATCCTCAATCGAAATCAATTGCCACGTATTCTGCAGCCGGGAGCAATCAGACGAAGACAAAGCAATGGCGATCTGGAGCATGGTGGCATA